AAATCCTCATGCGGTGCGGTATGACAAGAATCCCTTCTGAAGAACCCTCCCAGAACCAGAACCTCACATATAACATCAAAACAATCAAACAAATTCGGAATAGTTCTTACCTTCGGGAAGAAGCGGATAACTCAAATTAAACTAGCTAAGCACGACTTGTTGCAATCTCCGTAAGTAACAAAAAAACAGGCAAAAAAATTACCGCGTGTTTCTAAATACACCCAATGATGTAGAAAAAGGTCAAACTTTCTGTCAAATGGCATTCGGACAATCCCCAACCTGTTTTCTGCAAACCAACTAAATAGATATCACGATTTTTAACCAATTTTAGATTACGCAACAATATTCAAGTGGTCACCAAATTATAAAATCGCCATCTTGCCGCCGTATTTCTAATAGCGTTTTCGATTGGCAAAACTCGTGCTGCACGAGTGCAATTTTTACGTTCTATTATTGGTAATTTTAGGGCAATTTTCTGTATTCCATTGGCAAATGTGATGCAACAATTACGCACTCAGTGCAAATTTCGACGCACGAGGTCCGAGAGCTCGTGGAGCTGCTAGTTAACAAATTTTCAAAACAAACATGTGCGACAATTTGAATTTGTTTCTTCCGTTGGAGAGTTTTTTGTCGTCATCTAGCGATAGCGAAGATTATGAACTAGCCATAACTTCTATTTTACAAAAAGTTGCACTTACTCATTAAACTGAACGCCAAAAATTGGTCCTTTACAGAAATTTCAAATTGATATCATCTTTTATCATAAATATACTGAAATCGTTTCAGTCATTTTTTAGAATAGATAGGTATTTGTCGATTACCGAAATCTAAATGAGGGTTATGGACAAATGACAACAAATATTTATATGTTCCATTGAGAGCAATTTTCACATGATTTTTTTCAATTTCTCGTGCAACACTCGTGCAGTACGAGTTTTGCCAATCGAAAACGCTATAAAAGAAGATCCCGAATCGCGCACATTCCGAAAGTTCACAAAGACAGCAACCAATAATCATACCACGGGCAAAAATCATACGTGATCAAAATCCCTAGTACACTCTAAAATCGCTACCAACCGTTACATCTTCTTTTCAAAACATCTGATTTAGACATGTGTAAATGCGACGATGGTTTAGATTCCTTTAAAACAGTCTGTTAGTACGTCTTTCAAACGCTTATCGCCAATAACTCCGGATAATATTTGCAGTTTCAGGATTCAACTTTGATTTGATGATTTGACAGCGCCCAACATTCAAATCAAATTATTCCATACTGCACTCAATGAACACGAAGTGCACTAAACCAAGCGCCACCGCGGGATAGAATACTATAGCTCGTACCTATCTTAGACATCGGGGCGCCATCATGTCAGCAATAATACATAAATGCGAAGGCAACGCATTGTTTCGATGAAATACGCTTTCTAGACTTTTGGAGAATTTTTTCTAAAAACTTTCCGTTTGTTATGAAGTAAATTGAAGCGGTTCTCCAAACGAAAGTTGCACTGAGAGCGAATGGCTCCATATTAACTACGCTATCAACTTGAAATTTGAAATATTTCCATACGTTACTTACAGCAAAAGGCTTTCCAAAATGTTACTGTAACCTTTAAGACGCTGTTGTACCAAAATCTTGCACTTTATGTAGTGCTGACGCCAATTTTTTTTGTTTTAAAATGTTTTCAATACATTAAATCATCTACGGTTTCGTGAATAATGCTGATGCTTGTAATTAATTTTTAATTTATGCAGGTTGTGGGTAATATTCGTATACCCAACCGTTTCTCTACACTCTGCGAAGAGCTCAATGAGTTAAAGTAATAAATTAATATGCCTACCAGGCATGAATAAAGAACAGTTCGGACAAATTTTTGCATAAAGCTTACGCAGCATAGATACGAAAATTATTACTAATAACACGTTCTGCTTACCCACTCCATTCATTTACCCCTTGTACAATACTAAAGATTTTCTGAACATTGACGTTAAATTATAACTTTTGATTTCTTGAAGTTTATATTTTATATTTGTATGTATTGTACCGCTTTTATGACGCGTGTAAACATTACTTTTAATGTACTACCTAGCACAATGAATATATTGTTACTTATAAAGGCAAGGTGATGGAAATACACCTCTACTGTACGTAACTAACCTGGTCATTTAATTTATTTGTACACGCGAGGAGATGGTGGCGAGAATTTCAATTTAACACAAACCAGGTAAAAAAGTGTAGTAACATAGTGCTTCGTAGCACATTTGGAATTTTACAAATGAATTCTAGAGGCGCGCGACGTTAAAGAACAAGTTGATTAACGCATTCCGTTAATCAATGGTTTGGCATTAGTAGCGTTGCATGCAATCCATTAGGAGTTTTGTGTGTTTATTTTTTCTCTTTTTAATTAGCCTTCCATCCCAGCTCGTACTATGTAATTTAATTTCAAACGCTTGTGCAACTCAATTATCACGCTACACTTTTTCATAATATATTTAATTAACAATACGTTGCTATGTGTTTCGTTGCCTTTGTCAACTGAATTTGTTTTTGTTCTTTTTGTGGATTGCGACTACCTGTGTTAATTTTAGCGTTCGAGTCTGTTGCCACTGTTTAAAATGTGTTTGGATTAGAGGGAACCAGCTGTAAATGTATACAGACTCTTACACATACGTATCTACAATTTCCCTGTGGACCACATCAAAGCATAATGTAATCGTACCTACCATTGGATAGCTTTTAGATTAGACCGTCATCAATAGAGACGCCGGAAAAAACCTAAACCTAAGTTAAACAGAAATTTTTGCAATTACTCATTACAGGGTGGGCGCCCAGAAGGTATTCTCCTCCTCTGTTAATAGATCGCAAAATTCTAACACTAGGGAGCATACAACATCCTTACCACACGTGCAATTCAACTGGCTTGGCCGTGGCATAGAAGGCAAAGCACACCCCATTTCAGTAATGTTGGGCACAGTGCACCCTTGTTCGGTTTCGTCCAATCAGAATTGCAGAAACAGTTCGACTGGTCGAGACGTGGTGCATTGTGCTTAAATGCATCCGGGGGGACCTACTGCCATTGTAATTTGTTCTTAACAAAAATGGCCCATTTTAATTAGTGTACTCAATGTTGCAAAAGACGTTAATTAGTTACAAAAGATAGTAGGGATCATTCCGCGATATTTTTGGGGCGGCATTCGCGTTTGACCCACCGATGTGACCAGTGTTTGGCTCTAGAAAGATTTTACGTTCGTTCGGGTTTGGGTTGTTAGAGCAAGTGGTGTTTTGTAAAAAAAAAGTAAATTTGTTGGCTGAGAGATTGTAGGCGGGAATTAATCCGGGAAATTTTTGGAAAAGAATCCGTGCCTTTGATCGCAGCAGCGTCGATTTTGCACTGATAAAGAAAAGGCAAAAAAATCATTTGGCTTTATTTAACGGATTTCTCCATTTGTTGGTGGAAAACGTTCATAATAATTTATGAAACCCGTTAATACCAAGCTTTAATATTAATAAGAATCTTGCTTGCTTACAATAAACATAGCTCCCTTTGATTTTCCCGAAATATTTCATTTTTTATATATACAGGGTGTTCATTTGAAAACTGTCCACCACGGATTTATCGAAAACAACTAGTTAAAGGAAAAAACGCCGAGACATGTCAAAAGATTTTGTCAAGGGGGGCAACTTTTTAACCAAAAACTACCTCGCCCCATTTCACCCTCTGCCCCCCAGGGCCATTCCCTTAAACATTTTAAATGAGTAATAGCTTGTTTGAAAGGTCTTTCGAAGTGCTTTATTTCGAAGTTTGGTTTTATAAAATCGGTCGATTCGTTTTCGAGAAAATTACAATAATTTCCACTCTTTCCGCTAGTGTGTAAATCATTTTGGAAGTAAAATAGCAACAAATAAGTGATATTTTCGTTTGTTTTTGTTTTCTATCTGAACAAATTAAGGTAGGTCGATTAAATAAATTAAATTAAAGATTTTTCTAATTTTCTCGAAAACGAATCGACCGATTCTAAAAATTCAAACGTTAAAATAAAGGACTTCGAAAGACCTTTCAAACAAGCTATTCTTGTTTACAATTATTATACCATTTGTAATTTAAAATTTTTAAGGGAATGACTCTGGGGGACAGAGGGTAAAAGAGGGTGCAGTAATTTTTTGTTAAAAAGTTGTCCCCCTTGACAAATCTTTTAACGTGTCTCGGCGTTTTTCCTTTAATAAGTGGTTTTCGATAAATCCGTGGTGGGAAGTTTTCAAATGAACACCCTGTATATGGTACTTATACTCGTAGATACTTGTATTATTAAGAATAACTAATGCATACGCGCTTTGTAACTTAGTGGAAGATGGGTATTTATGATGCCCTTAAATAACGTTAGACTCTCAGTATTAATAATAACGTGCCATTTCCGTATATAACAGCTTTAAAACAAAACACAGTCGCTAGCTTACGATCTTAAACTCTTAAACGCATAAACTAATAATTTATTGTTTATGACGGCATAAAAAGAATTCGGTTATGAGACTACAACAATAAAGGCAAAAAAATGGCGTTTCTAGCATGGCTAATTATTTTAAGTTGTTCTTATGTAATGGATACTTAACATGTAAGGAAAGCGCTCGGGGGGCAGTACAAAATCTTTCATTGCAGAGTTAAAGAAGGAAAGGAGTGAAATTTAGTTCTTAAGTGAAATTTGTCGATTCCAGTTAGAAAAGATGCAAGATTCTGGACACCGATTGAGTATAAATGTGCGGTTTAAAATATTTTGTTAATTATAATATTCAGTGCAAATTACTATTGCAATACTGCACTACAAGGGAAATTCCTTTCAATTAAGATTAATTAATTGAATTAGAGTCATGAGTCGGATCATCACAACAGATTGACAATTTTTCAGTTTCTGGAGGTGGGGGAACAACTTAATGCCCGTGGGGGTCCTATGCGCATAAAAAATGTTCACGTTATACTTCCTGCCAATGATGAAAAATACGCCAAGAAAGAAAGTTGTAGCAAACTGTATGCGAAATATACAAGAATTTTTAATCAATATGGTATTTGATCAACTCCATAAACGCCACCCCTTTGCGAGATCCGCCGCCCTCAGAATCGGAAGACTTGCTAGCCGCCTTCAGTACGCGGTCCGGTGGTTGACCTTCGGTTGTTCGTTTGGAAACCGGCATAATTGACGCTTTCTTCATTGACGCCTGTACACAGTTTTTAGATAAAATGGTTACAATACTGGCGTTACCGTTGGTTTCTTGGTATCCTCAAGAGCAACACCAGGCATGACTGACATCCTTCGATCGGCGGGTAGAGCGTTCATTTTTCTGAACAGGAAGGCAACCTCATCTCTCATTCCCTCACCCTTCATTAACTTAATAATTTGGTTTTCGCGCCTTTGGAGTACCTTGCTGCCGAAGTGATCGTCAAATTGTACCTCTTCCACAATTTTTAGGCACTGAAATACGTTGTTAGAGGCTTAAACGCGCCTAGATCAGAATACCTTTTGAATATACGTCTGTAGCCCCTCATCCTTCAATTTTTTCGCGTAAGCTAAAGCGTCATTGAATTCTGTTTTCGCATCATTTCTGTTGCGCTGCTTTAGACTGATCTTAGCTATCAACATCATCGCGTTTAGTATCCAAATCGAATTTGATGCAGTTTGGCCTTCCTGCACACACTTTCGACAGTAAACCCTCGCCAGCTGATAATCGTGCACTTCCGTATGACAAACCGCCAATTCGTGGTAGAGCCAGCACATTTCCTCCGGATGTAATGCTTTCCTAAGACGGTCCTCGAACAACAAAATCTTCTTCCTAAAATTTGCACGTTAATCGAAAGTCCCGAACCGTAGCACTCTTACTTCCAGTCCACGAACTCATCTTTGAACTGCTGTATGATGGAATCCGTCGACGGTTCTCTACCGAAGGGAAATCCCAACCAATAGTACACCCTTTTAACTTGATCTGATTCGCTTTGGTGGCTACTGATTCTGAACAGGTGGTAGTAAGCCCAACCGACCAGTTTGTACATTTCCGCCAGGTACTTTTCACGAGTTGGGAGTATCTTAATAGGTTTCAATTCGCAATAAATTTTCAATTTTTCGGCATAAACGAGTGCCCTTTTGGTACGCTTTGCGTCAACAGCGCGCTGGATAATAGCGAGAAGCTGATCCGCTCCAATCTTCGCGGTCAATTGCATCTTTCGTAATTCCTCCGCAATTCTCAGCTTAAGATTGCCTCTAATCTTAGCCTCTTGGTACTTTAAGAAATAAAACGGCCTTCTAGTTCTCAACAATTCCTACTTAAAAAAATATTGAGTAGCAGATACGAGGTTGGGATGGTACCTGTTTGTAGGCTAAACTTTTGTAGCCCTCCTTGCTCATGCGTAGAATGCTCTTGGTACCCTCCCAGTTGGGTGATAGTACTCCTGGATTATTTCGCAACTGTTTTAAGAACATTTTATCATTGCACATGCTATCGAGATATTTTTCGGACATATAATTTTCAATGTTTGTGGTGTAGCGTTGGAGTGGCCTAAATCGAGATTTACACGGTGGTATAACGTCAACATCATCCGCATGCGAATGCAAACTATCAACAATTGAAAGTCCGGAGTGGGTGCCTGTAACATGCCAGAATATGCATTCATTTAAACTGCAAAGGGGCGATCTTACGGGCTTTCTTTTGCTTGATTAACGGAACGATGGGATCGTGAACAACCTTTTCAGTGGGCTTTTTCGGCTTTTTCTTCTTCTTTCTTTTCCTTTTGATTTGATACGGATTTTCTGTCTCCTTTAACTTCTTCCATGCCATTCGGTGTATAATTTTGTAATGGTCTCGCAGCGGGTGCCCGGTACGCAAACCTGTGGTATTCTCCGTTGCTTCATTACACTAAGCAAATTCCGTTAAAAGCATGGTATAATAAAGTTAAAAGAGTTGAAGTGTCTTAAATGTGGTACATACGTAGCAGAAAATAATTTAATAATATCAAATAAACCTCACAATCCATATACATACTTAGGAAACGGATTAACTAATATTGACTTAACTTTAATTAGTAATAATTTATTGGATAAAATATTTAATTGGAAAGTAAATGAAAATCTAACAGTTAGCGATCATAATGCCATTACATTTGATATAAATTTCGGAAAACAAGATAAAATTATTGTAGAAAATAATAAAAATATTCAACAAAAAAAGCAAATTGGGAATTATTTGAAAGATTATCAAATGAAAATAATTATTTTAATGAAAAAATAAAAATAGAAAATGTAAACGATATCGAAGAAAATATTCTTAAATTAACAAATAATATTCAAAACATATGTAACGAGTCAATACCTAAAATCAAATATAAAAAAAGATATAATTTTTGGTGGAATGAAAACTTCACAAATAAAAGAAAAGAAATAATGAGAAATAAGAAAATTGTATCAGACTAATAAAAATTTGGAAAAAAATTAGGATTGAAATTAAAATATAAAAACGAACTAAAAATGTATACATCATTAATTAGACAAGCAAAAAATAACCATTTAAAAGACTTTGTAACGAAACATGGGAATGAAGAACCGTATAAATTAAATAATAATAAAAAAGAAAATATACTTTCCACAATTAGAAATGGTGAAACAATGACAACTACATGGATAGAAACAGCAGAAAAATTAGTAACAAATTTAATAACAGATGATAATTTAATTGAAACAACAGAATTACAAAAAGATAGAAGAAAATTTTTGGAAACTGAAATTAAAAATTGTGATAATTTCGAAAAATTTCTAATGCAGTATACAAACAAAAAGATAAAAAAAACTCCTGGTCCTGACTTAATAAACAACGAAATTATAAAAAAAGTATATCCTTTTATGAGAAAAAAATTAAAAATTTTATATAATTCCTGTTAGAGATTTGGATATTTTCCAAAGCTTTGGAAAAAAAGTGACTTAATAATTATTAAAAAACCAGGTGAAGGAAAAGATCCTAGATATTAGAAAAATTATTGAATGATAGATTAAATTATTATTTGGAAACGAACCAAATTTTATCAAATAAACAGTTTGGATTGAGGGAAGGAAGATCGACGGAAAATGCAATTTTGGAATTATTTAAAAATGTTGAAAATTCACAAAAAAAATATGTTTTAGGAATATCAATAGATATAGTTGGTTCGTTTAACAATGTATGGTGGCCGGCTATTCTATATGAATTGGGGAAAATTAAATGTGATATATCAATACAGAAAATTATTAAGAGTTATTTGACAGACAGAATTACAAATATAGCAACAAATACCAAAAAATAACAAATGAAATTAGCAAAGGTTGACCACAAGGATCAGTACTGGGACCTACTTTTTGGGACATCATTTTTAATAATAGTTTTCAAAATAACGTAAGGGAAATCGCATAATGCAGATATGCAGATATAATTTTTATAATAGAAGAAAACTTAAATGAAATAATAAAAAATTTTTAAAATTGGTGTACTGAAAATAAATTAACAATATCACACGAAAAAACGGAAATGATACTTTTTAAAGGAAATTTGGACATTAAAAGACCTCTTACAATCAAAATTTACAACAAACAAATAAAAATGGTAAACAACATAAAATATTTAGGAATAATAATTCAAGAAAAATTAAAACTTAATATGCATATTGACAAAATTTCGAGTAAAATAAAACAATTATTTCAAAATTATATTTGGACTTGTAAGGATAATTGGGGACTAAATAAGAAGATCAGCATTGTTATATGGAGCTGTAATATGGGCAAATAGGATAAAAAAAATACAAGAAAAAAAATCACAGGTATTCAATCTTATATTCTAAGAAGAATCTTTAGTATATATGTTAAAACAGCAACAAATTCAGTAACTAGTAGATCTGGAATAATGCCTATTACATTGAAGATGAAATTACAAATTCAAAATTATAATTTGAGAAAGGATCAAAACATTACTTTAGAAGAAAACATAATAAATTATAACACATATAAAAAATAACACAAAAATTAACTTTGTACATCAGGCAAAAGCACATAAAAATTTAGAAACTTTTGAAGAGGAAGAGGGAAAATTAACAAGAGTCGACATTAAAAAACAAATTGAACAATATGATTTAAATAAATGGCAAGAAGAATGGGATCAATCAGACAAAGGGAAGGAAACATATCAATATATACCAAATATAATAAATAGATTGAAATGGAAATTTTGGAACATAAATAGGGGCATTATAGGTACAAATTATAACCAATAGAGGATTATGTAATTCTTATTCTTATAAAATTAAAAAAAGTGAAACCAACATGTGTACGTGCGAAAAAGGAATAGAAAGTGCTGAACATTTATTATACGAATGTGAAGAATTCAAAATTGAGAGAGAAGACTTTAAAAACTTATTGGAATCGAAAGGAATCATTATTTGGCCTGTTAACAAAAATCAATGTTTACAAGAAAAAATATTAGAAGCATTTTTGGAAATTTTTGCAGCAAAATTCAAAAAAGAAAATTAAGCAAAATTTTAAATAAAATAATTAAATAAATTTACAGGGACCCCCAAGTGTTTAGGGACGGGCAACGAAGTCTAGGGAACCCTTTAGGGCAATAAAAATCCTAGATACGGCCAACTCCTGTAAAATAAAAATAAGAATTGTTATAACAAAATAAAGAAAAGACTTATAGATAACAGGGGATATGCTGGAAGGCATGAGTATCTTTAAAACTAACAAAAAAAATGTGGTACATACGTGCATAACACCCATGGTGAAGTTATCGGGTTTCTTTCGTTTAGGCACCATCCGATAGTTTAAAACGAGAGCATCTTCAAATTCACAAGATAAGTACAGGTTTAAAGCTCTCTGTGCAGTCACCACTAAATCTTCTGGATCCAATTCTAAGGCCTTGTTAATGTCGTCAATTGCCCCCTCATAGTTGCAAACTTTGGATCGCAAACAGGAACGTCCCAAAAGTGTTCTTTTGTCAGTGGGCACCAAAGAATATGCCTTATCGAAGATTGGTACAGCTGCAAAGTACGTTGGTCACTAGGAATAAAGCCTAAACACGGAAACGGGAAATTAAAACTGAAGCTCGCTTTCGGAACAATTTATCCCTGCACGTAGACCACCCATTATACGCTACTGATCGTATCGTTCAATACATTACAGGCGTTTCAAGCCCTTTCAGCTTTGAATTCAAATCAATTCAAAGCTTATTTATATTTAAATGAGAATATACCTTAGTCAAGCTTAGGTTTTAAATGAATTTAAAATTTAATCAAAAGCAGTTACTAACCTCTGTCATATTGTTCTCTCCGTGTAATGTAGTAGCCCAGCTCCCTGTAATAGGGTAGCATTAAGGTCTCATCCTTCTGCCCGTATACCATTCTGTTTGCTGTTATAACACCAATTTAATACGAAACTAATCCCTCCCTACATAACGAAAAATTACATTTTACGCGAGCCGCTGCAATGACGTTACCGACTGTCACGTCATGGCAACTGCAATTTTCAATTAGGAATGGAATTTGAGTTTTGACAGAGGTGTTGTACAGAGATCCTTTTGCTTGTCATTTCAGAACGTTTTAAAAAGAGCTGAGTATTATAAAATAATGCGTCTCATCTCAGTAATGGAAAACTCGACCAAAGTGTATATTGTATCCCGAAAAATTCGCCCTCGACAATTTGGCATCAGGTGATTCAGCTTAAAAAGTTTTAAATCAAAATATACACCCCAGAAAATAGACCCCCCCCCCCTCAGTATATTCGCCACGGTAACATTCATCCCATGATACATTCAATAATTATAGTCTAAAATGCCGCTCCTCAGAATGTTTTTGCTTTTACATAAGGGAAACACTCACAGATTATGTTCATCGACTAAGTACTCAATTAAAAATCCAATTTCCGCGAGAAGTTTTATCCGTTACGTTCCTTAACTGAATTTATTGCAAATGAAAAAGGAAAATACCATACTGTATTCCCTTTAGGAGGCCTAGAGTGATTTTTAGTAGGTTAGAGTGTAGCGGGAGACCGTCAGGGTATTGTCATCATTCCGAATTTAAAAATTTTAATTTTTTTAATTGATAATTATAGTAGTACGTTTTTATGTTCTTCTGTATATGGCTGTGTTTATTTCGTCTGGCAGGATGAAATGTTCGGGCATCTTAATTAAGATGGACAAGAGCGGTCTCCTTTTGTGTAATTAACATTCATAATTAAATTTTATTTTAATTGACGGGTGGGTGTGATTTAGCGCCTTTTCTGTGGAGTTAAAAGAGATGAATTTTTATTTTGCCTAGTATTTTAGTTAATTAATGTCTGATAGGAAATTATTTAGTAAAATTATTGCACCTATATTCTTTTGCTCTATTAACGTAAGTTGAGAAGATATTTTAAGTTGTCAACTGTGTTTGATTGGTTGTTATAATTTTGATTTTCGAAAGAAGGGTTCCGCTTTAAATAAGACGTTAAGAGGAATAGCGTCGCTTTTATGCCACGTTTAGGGCCATAGTGCGGCCATTTTAAATCGTTCAAATAACATGCGGTCCACGTACCAGCCTATTACAGTAATTACGATACATGGGTGTAGGCGCGATTTAAATGCGATTGCAATAGTAGAATTAAGATCTGAGGTGCACGGCACTGTTCAATTATTATATGAGAAAGGACATATGTGATTAAACGGCTAATTCAGATCTGCTAGTACATGTGAACCACGTAGGTAGCCATTTTGAAGGCCTAAAATTGGGTTAATCCGGCAGAGGCATAGGGCATTAAGCGTTAAGTGAGCGTAAAGTCACGGTGAGACAAAAAAGTACGCATTAGGAGCGCGGAAGTGCTAGGTCACGACGGCCCCAAACATTCGAAACGGCACCAGAACGAAAATTAAGCGCGCATCGAGCAACAGAGGAGATCCTGGATTCTGGATTACCATAGGAGGATGGACAGGGTCCGCGCGTACCTAGGCCTCAAATTCGGGCCCTTTGTACTACCTCCCCGACTAGAGGGCATCCGACCTCTCAACGTCACTCAAGTTATCCCATACGTGAGATGAACCTAAGGATGCTGGAAGAGGAAGCACCTTTAATCGTAACCATGTCCGGTCAGGACGCCTCCAACATGGAACGTCTCAGTTGTGTGCCGTCTCGTCGTGTATGTCTCTACAAGATGGCGGGTAGCTCTGTCCAAAAACGCACCAGGCTACGAGATTGTCCTTTGAAGGCTTCCCTCGCATGGCAATCTAACATCATGTTCCACCGAGCCCTGTGTTGGGTTTGGGTGTTTTGAGTTATTAAGTTGTTTACAGTTGCAACTGTAAGTGGAAGAGTCGTCTCTAGACTATAAAACTCGACTGTATAGCTCAGTGGTAGGGCGTTGGGCTACATAACCGGGAGGTCGGGTGTTCGAACCTGGGCTGAGATAAGAATTTTTCATCTGTGTAAAGTAAATACCAGAGTATGAGGGTATGAGGGTCACACTGTTATTGGGCGAAAGCCTGTTGAGAGCCTAGAACAAGAAAGGGACAATAAATAAAATAAATAATTAATAAACACTTGTTTTCAGGCCAGTCGGGTTAACTCATCGGCTTTCGCATTACCTTCCGTTCCAGCATGCTCCTTGAACCATACGAACTCAAGGGTGTTGCTGCTTGCTACTTGCTCTGGGGCATGGTGACATTCGGAAACCCACCTAGAATTAATTTTACAGTGACCAAGTGCTTGCAGGGCATCCCTGCTGTTACTGGAAATTCTGATAGTTTTGGTCTTTAAGTCTACCAGCCCTGATTGGAATACAGTAGGAAGTTTGTCTAGTAGTTGGGTGATATGAAAGATCAGTTCTTTGGAGTAAATACCAGTGCTTGTTCTTTCCATTGTTTGAGATCCATCCGTGAATATTAATATCTGCCACATCCTTATCAAGAAATATGATAGTTTTTCCCTAATATAAATTGAGGTGTGAGCGAGTCCGCTCGCTCTTCTAGGATACGCAATCGCTCATTCGCCTCGCTCATAATTCGAGAGTTGTCCACCTCAATACCTCTGCTATTCAAAAAACCCTAATTTTTTAGACGCAAAGATGCCAGAGTAGCCTGCTAACAAGAAAGAAAATCGCCTTTCATAACTTTTCCGCTAGTTGAGTTCTCCCAGGTGACGACCTTTAGGAAACACGCTCGCAAAACAGCACGCTATCGAGCGGAATGCTCAAGGGATTTCTATGCCCGTTATATTGTAAAGTAAGGTAATTCCATCTTTACTGTATTTGTGAATTCAATCCATTACCGTGCATTTAAGGGTTAGAAAAGGATTAAACTGTTCATTTTGAATAGCAGAAAAGAAGCCCTTAACGGATATTTAATCTCTGGTATGCTGCTTTTCTGACCAACTGTATCCTTTGCCCTCGCCTTTGCCTTTATTATAGTAATTAAATGTTAACAGACGCATGTCCAATCCGACCTTCAAAGGGTGCCTAATTAGGAATGGGAATTTTGCTGTCACTGTAGATAGACTTTTTGAATATATTAGCTAGTAATACATTGCAACGATTTCCGAGCACGGGGAGCGAAAAATCTGCATTATAATTATGAGGAACTACTTTCTATGATAGTTGTAACGGGAACCCGTTAAGCTGTCTATTATTTAGAATTTCTATATGTATAGATTTTCATAGTATGGATTGATCAAAAAACTAAGAAACAAAATGCACAGTTAATTGCCGTAAACGCATTGTTTAATTTGGATTGACAAATACGTGGCAGTGATATCCGAGCGGTTTCCTTTTGCAAACTTGAGCTACGGCAAATTAATTCTGCTATTACAATCGTGCTACTACAAATAGAGAAATCAATTTCGCGCATCAGGAAAGTGAAGCGATATAAATCCAGTAAGGAAAATTTATGTACATAAATATTTTGAACAATTGTCTATCAGCTTCATATACCATGAATACGACCCTCGCCCTAGGGGAATCCTCTTTCTAGACAATTTCTGTAAGAATCAGGGCAACTTTAGGAGCAGACTAATAAGAGGTATTAATTGCAGAAACTTTGATTGTTTCATTTATTTGAATCGCTGTGAGTTAGATATCATAACAATTTCAGTTGGCGGTTAAATATCCAATTTTGATTTTTTTTTATTAATTTAAACAGTTTAATCTTCAAATAAAGATATTGTAATAAAAGCTAACTCGGAAGGGCGAATTTTGAGAGCTTGGTTACAGTTTATTGTTTAATATCCTTTATGAAACTATAATTTTTGGAATCAATATCCTTATTCCGCGACCCTTTTGTATTATTTTTATTATTGACTAGATAGTGGATTGCCACTGTGGCATTCTGACTAAAGGGGTTAGGTGCAGGCTTCCCCCCTAGAATTGAAGGGTAGATTCCAAACATTAATGACACAGGTCTTGGTGGGATTCCTAAGGAAGTTCGAATTAGTCTACTTAGACGATATCGTTATCCATTCCGACAATTGGTACGACCACATCCGCCACCAGAACTTAACAATGGCGAGATTGCAGCAACACCGGCTTCGGGCACCCCTGAGAAAATGCCGTTTCGGGATACGGAGCATCAAATACCTCGGGAACATCAATTAATCCGACAAGAAGAAAACTCCACCCCACCACGTACGTAGAGGCAATTTGCGCAGCAGAAAAATCTACATCTCGGAAACAGCTTCGTACTTTCCTAGACCTCGCCAACTGGCTACGAGAATACATATCACAGTGCACGGAGATACCGGCACCGGTGGATAATCTCCTAAAACAAAACACGCTATTTCGATGGACTACAGATGACGAACGGGCATTCCAAGACCTCAATTACGGCATCCCAGCGCCCCTCCAGTTGAGCCCCTCCGATACCGTGGTCGAAGAACATACTGCTAAGATACAAACAGGATAGTAGCCCCGACATCCACGCCAGTCGAAAAGACTGATAGGAACCAGCCGGTCATCGCCGTTTGTGGGACTACCCGATCACCTACATCGTACACAACACCCGGGTGCCAAAGAAACGAGCCGCGCTATCCTCACCCAATATCACTGGCCGAAGATAGGCAACCAAGTCCGGGATTACGTGCGAGGATGTTGGGTATGCACAGCAACAAAACTCTTGCCGATACGGGAAGCGACAGCCCGCCCTGGAGAGCCAAGCACAGTGCCTGCTTAGGGCTCCCCCCTCCCTAAAGAGGTTGCGACAGCTGAATGTACTCCCTGGAGTAGGTGGCGGTGATGTGTTATTGGCGGTTCCGCTGATTGAGCTTGTGATGCTGGATGCTGGCGGCCGCGGCGTTGGCGCGGATGTGTACCGCCAGTCATTCACCGACCATTCTAATCCATTTCCAGCGGAAGTCATCGGTGACGTTGTCTCTAGCCCTGCTTCAAACTGTGTTCTCGTAGGTCCATAATAAGCGTAGCGCGATCTGTATCGGTGTTGGTTATACGGTGAACCAGCCTTGTCTGCTCTTATCTTGCTTCGTCGTCTTGTTTTACTTGGGCTGATGAGTCAGGTTTCTCATGCCACTCCCCTAGCCGCGGGAATCCTTATCCCAGGAGAGCGTAACTAGGCGTTGTTGCTGTTGCGGTGTTTTTTCGTGTACTTAGAGTGTCGTCTCGTGTAGTAAGGCGTCCCACGTTTTGGTACCCCCTGAAGGTAAATTCGAACACCTTTCTTAATTTCCTGTTTTCTTCTCTCCACCGAATTGGCGTGAGGATAGAAAATGGGAGTTGTTCAGTGGTAAAATCCCTAATCCCTTAGCGCGGCATCCCAAGTGACAGAGAGAAACTACGGCCCGTTGTCAAATATGATGGCTCGATGCAACGCTTCCACCCAAAATCGTATACGGTACCAAGATGAATCCGTTCCTCTTGTGGATTCGACGTAAGGGCCCATAACATCGACGGATATTACTTCCCAAGATGGAGGTGGGTAAGTCTTCGACAAGCGGCTGAGACTGGTCGTTTGGCTCATTTCCATTCCTTCCCGTGTTCACTACCCCCCTCGTTTTCACGGTGTTAGTTTGTTCCACACTACGGTAGCATCTGACGTTCCGCGACGCTGCGAAACTCTTCGTCCGCAATGCGAAGGGGTATTTCTGGAGACTCGATGTTGGCTTAATTTCTATTTTCCGCATTTTCGTACAACCAGTGCACGGTTTAGCTTGGAAAATGAAAAACGCGCTCGGAGAAAACGACGCAGATTTCATACCGCATACGCCGTACAGTCGCTTAAAGAATGCCCCCTTCGCACTATTTTTACTCATACTTAAAGGTATCGCCGTTGTAAATTCTGGCCCACTAAGCGCTTTATGAAAACGATGAATGGTATAAATACTTAATTCTCTGCTATCATAAGCTTTTTGTCATTTAACATTCGGTTGAGATAGATTTATGTATTATGTAACTCTACTCTCCTTGCTCTTATTTTAAGGCTCCTCTGTAGTCAATTTGCATTTCAATGTTATTGCAATTGGTTAGACCACCAACAATACAGATTTCTACGTATATTCGTGGAGTGCGAAAACGGTATATTTCTATCCCTTTCAGTTTTTGCATATTTTCTTAATTTATTGTTAAACACAATAGACCAGGTATAATGATCAAGGACTAATTATGTAAACAAATTTATTGAAAAGGTGTAGGCAATATTTGAATGAAGCTACACAAATAGGTACCTGTTCCTTTTACTCCATTTGTCTATAATAAGATCTTCTGTAAATTACTTGATTCTAAGGTAATTAGTGGAGAAAATTCGCAATGTTTGCTAACATTTCCCAATACATTGTTAATTACACCTTATTATTATTTCCTGTTATTTACTTATTTAAAAAAGTTCTTATCTTTTCAAAAAATAATTGTACAGTTAGCGTATTCGTTTTATTTATGCACGGCCCATGAAGGTTTTTTCCGATCAGACAAAACTGCTGGTAAAAAATTAAAAATGTAACTAACACAATAACACATGTCTATACATATTGTCATTGCAACCTATCTTCCATTTTTATGGGTAGAACCATATTCCGCACCAAAAAGCATGAGATATCACATGGACATCAAGCAATCGAATTTACACCTTTTGGTCTGTAAGTATCGATATTGGCATCGTTTGTGCGGTATCATAATTCGGTTTTTTAAATCCTTAATTCAGTGAAAATTGAAATTGGGCATTCCTCTATTTTTTTTTACGAACAAGTATTCATCCTTGTTGATATCAGATCATATTGAAACAATTATAATAATAATTTTTTTAAACCGAAATAGCTTAGTAAATAGTTGGGTTATAAGGCTCTTCTGTTGTCAAGATATTCGTTTCGACTTCACCAATAGATGTCTCGTCCAGACGATTCATTCTGCCTCTCCTCCGACAAACTGTATTCGCTCTTATCGTGTTGATCTTACCAATGGATATATTTGTTCCAGACATCCCAATCGCCCTTGGAAAGTACCTCCTTCGGCAATTCGCTATAGAGATAAAAATTATAACCGATCACGATGAGGCGTCGAAGAGGTAAAAATGGATTCCTTTTGTTGAGACCTTTCATGGATAAAACTAGTGCCTCTCTTCCCCGAACTCCCTATTTTGATAAGGGTGAAAAAAGGGGGCCTTAAAATAACTAAAAGTGATGGCCGTCTGGCGGACCTCCAAGGTATAGGCTACTTATTGCAAAAAATTCCAAGACAATATATTACCATTCCCCTAAAAGTAGTTCAAAAAAAGTGGGCCCGGGCGGACGGGCAAAACGCAAACAATTACACATTTTTTTATTTCTTAAAAAAATCCGCTAAAAATAAGTACACAGTATAGAACATACCGTTTCTGTTGCCACATAGTAATGGAAATTAAAAAAAATCGCAGCAAAGTTGATGTGAAGATTGCGGGACTCTATCAAAAGGCGTAGGTACTCAAACGGAAAAAGTAAGTGGTCCGAAATTTGTTAAAAGTGCGAGAATTTTTTATATCTGCCACTAATTACCGGGAAAACCAACGAATTAAGCCGCTTTTTTTGATACGGATATTCATTTTGGTGGTGTCTCGCTAACTGGACAAACTTTACTTTTGAATTGATGCTAATTGAGACTTCTGAAGTATTTTGTAAGGATACTACAAAGGAATTGCGGTATTGTGCTTTCTCCTTATGTCGAGGTCATGCCTTTGTCCTGCCCTACCACATTTTTTAAATGTTTTTATGCACGTAGATAAGCAGTTTCGTGGTACAAAATGTTAAAAAAACAAAAAGGAGTCACATTTTTACACCACACCTGAATTGCGACAAGAAGCCACCAAATTATTGGTATAATCGTCTCAATATGTATGCAAAACACATAAGTGGTCGTATTCCCCTTGGGTTGAGCTAAAAAATGGGGTTACTACTCGTATTTGATATCTTCCTAAATAAATTTCTTGAAGAATCTAGATAGAATGAAAAATGTTTTAGAAATAAAAAAGTATTTCTATAAAAAAAAATAAACATTAGCTAATTATATAGTAGTTTATCTAATCCATGTCATCAGGAACGAGGTAACAATGTCCCAGGATAATGCTAGGTAGTTTCTTTTGTTTTCCTTTGCAAGTAATGAGATATCGCCTTAGGGGTTTTAAGTGCAATTTGAGTTGCCTACCTTTATGTTAACGTTGCGCTCTTTTCTGAAAATCGCGGAACTTATTTTTTAAAATATATATGCCTTATCATAATAGATGGAAATAATATCTTTAAGTACCGCCGTAAGAAATACTGTCGGATTTCCAAATTGGTGCTGTAGGTTTTTCTACTCCCATTACAACGGCTGTTATTTACGAAAAACGATTTTTCTATTCAACGATCTTCCTAAAAAACTAAGACCGATATTTCAACTTTTTTTAAGTACCGCCGTTCTTTTCATCATTGCAAAGAATATCCACTATCGAAAATTTGTTAGACTTCAACTACAAAAGCAGCATTTCATAAGAAAGTTTAGCTATTTTTCCAATATGGCGGATTGACTACAGAGGAGCCTTAATGACAATAACCCACTTCATTTACCTCATCCCGAATATACACACGCAATGCAGCTATTAACAAAAGGGGAAACGTTTTTGACTTTTATTTTCAGAAAGGAAATATGTGATAGTACCTTAACATTTCAGATGAAATCACTTAACGATACGCAATCATCTAGCAGCAGACAGGAAGTTAAACATAATCTCGAGTCATTCACAGACCACAGTGTTTCAAATATCACCAATTCAAAAATCGTTTGGCAAAAATTATACAAACGAACATACAAACACGATTTTCATTATAAAGCTCAGTGTGCGTTTGATGTAAACTTATCGGAAGCATAAAAATGAAATGTTAAGCCTTTTTTTAATTGTCGTGATATCGCCTTGCGAGTTTTACCTATCTAGGTGCTAATAATGGTCTAACGTTACAATTGATCTAATTGTAAAATTAGATTACCCTTATTACATGTTTGATCAATGTTATTCAACTATAAATGACTAATTTGTTACAATACTATCTATGAGCTACTACTGTTAATCGTATGCTAGAAATGGTTCAATGTTTTAAATCGCATTTTTTGTTAGAGGTAAGCTCACGAGTACCTTTCTTTAAATTTGGTTGTTATAAAATTACTTGTAGGACACAACACGTGGTAGTTTTTCTTCGACCCATACTTTCTAAGGCATACACATAATTATCCTATTATACACACAGATATATGTTGTTTAAGGCCTCATATTTTACAAATGGAACCATTAGAATTCTATTTACAATAGTGAAAATTTAACAGTAAATAAAACGCCGTTAATAACAAAATATCACAAAGGTTAAGAGTATTATAAATTATTTCAAATTATATTAATACCAGTAAATTTGTGCAGAATTTTTGAATATTTTTTGTGTTATTGCTAAACGCCTGATGTTCTTTTAATCCTTGACACAATGAGTAGGATCTGGCAGCACCTTGGTCGAGTCTTATTGGAGGAATCAAACATTGTGACTGTTTCACACAAAATATTCATTATAATACTTCAAATTAAATAAGATTACAAGCTAAACTTTTGGTCGTCTCAGCCAATGTCTTTATCTACCTACCAAAGATTTTCCAATTAGTTCCAGAAAAAAGAACGCCACGATAGAAAAGGCCAAAAAAGTCAAAAATGTAATTACGGTATAGACAGTAACGTAGTAACAATTTATAAGTAAATCATTAGAACGCGTTTAGAAGGTACAATAGAAGGACATCACAGCCATCAAAGTTAGGTACTACTAGGAATTGTTAATCCAAAAGAATCTCAATAACCCTTAAATTATAGGAACATATCATTCTGGCAAGCATACAAGCCACCGACTATACCGAAACATTATCGAATCCTTCGGCTAGAGTTCCACGTGTGGACGGAACCAAAATACTATTTCTTCCGTAACTCGTTAAAGATACGGCTGAATGTTGCGTAAATGTGTAACAGTACTGTAATAATAAACAAAACTAATTGGAAACTCTTGCGCCATACATTACTACAACCATCCCGTAGGCCCATTATGACCGCTAATAGGTATTATTCCTGGCAATTTCGGATTGTAGTACTGTCCGCTTTGCTTGTACTCGTCTTCGGGTGTTTGCGATGACCCGGTCGCTTGGGTGCTTGACGAAGAGTTATAGAGAAGTGGTTCACGCGATGATGTACCGGTTGGGAGCACCGACTGCCCGGCAGCTGCTACGCTTTCTTCGGTCGTGGATGGTGTTAGAGTTGGAACTACGGGGATATCGACCGATTCTTGCTCGGATTGCGTTTGATCTAAGTTCCGTTTTGGTAGCTGAACTACTTCGGATACTCTTACTGGTACGCTTGAAGCTCTATGTAGTGCCTAAAATAAAAAAATTGGTTTAGTTCATTTAGAATGATTTATACTCCATTTACATTTTCCTGGACATTTTCTTTGCTTGCAATTACCTAAGTACCGATTCCAGTGCCCTTAAATAAAGAGATTGAGTTATTTATTACAGGAGGGGAGAGTCTAAATATGAATTTTGAATTAGATAGATTGAATGGATTGCCTGAACTTTTTGGCGATATAGGGCGGAAATTAGAAAAGGCTGCTGCTAGGAATAGACACTATTATGATTTACATCGTCGTCCTGTTACTTATAATGTGGGAGATAAGACATATTGGAGGAGTTTTCCTCAGTTTGATGCCAAGAAACGTTTTCAGCTAAATTAGGTCCAAAATATATTGGTCCTTTTTGTTATTTGTCTGAAGGTATCACCCTGGATGTATGAATTAACGGATATAAATGGTCGTTTTAGGGGTATCTGGCATGGCAAACATTTGAAAGTCTTATTCGGAGTCATAGTATATTTTCATTTTTTCGGACTGGTTGGTTGGGGATGTTGGACGGTCCATTTTAGGGGTTGTATCCACTCTTTCTTTTCGCTTTCGGATACAATTCCCCGTTCGATAATCAGAACTCCCTTTTTATAAACGCCATATTGCAGAACTATAAAAGGGGCAATGAGAAAGTGTCTTTTATTTATCTCTCTTTAAATACCTTCAGAAACAAATAGAAGCATCTGTAATATAAAACATTGGCAACGAAAATATTCCCTCGTTCTAATTATTTGTCTCAATACAATATTAGGCTATTCTCGTCAGTTTATTTCTAGTCAAAAATAAGATTGACATGAACAAATGGAGAGGGGGGCTGGGAGATACCTTCCAGTGGTTTAATGAACCTTTTACTAATAACTATTTATTTATAGGGTGTCATAAGCCTCTTTATGCACGCGAGAAAAGTTTAATTTCCCAGGCCTTTGGTGGAGGAAATTAATTTCTCAAGTGGATAACTAAGCACGAGTCAAATACAAGATTTTATCCAAAACCGCTCAAAGGGCAAGTTATTAGTATTCAATCCTGATGTTTTCCGAAATGGGTCGTGACTAAAATTGAACGTATGTCGTATAATGACTTCTTTATTGAACGGGTTCGGATAAAATATTAGATCGATACCACTTTCCAAAAAAAGTAATTTGACTTCACGGGCGGCAGAACAAAGGGGTCACAATGGATAAATAAACGCGGCAGTTCTGTAATGAATACGTACGATATGGCGATATGACATGAATTTTATACATTACTAGAAGAAGTAACGTGGTAGAGCACCGAATTTCCACTTTGTTCTCCTTTTTATTACAATCAATAAGAAAGGAATTCGTGCTATCTTATTTACATCAAAGAATAACCTCTTTGGCACACAAAAAGATCTTGACTTGATAGCTTTAGAGCCAATAAATAGCAAATTCTAAAACATGAAATTATTGAGGCAGTGAAATTAAGCTTTCTCATTCCAGATCTCAAAAACATTGCAGAATGAGACAATTATCAAACCGAAAACAGTTAAAAACGAGAGAGCATTTAAAAATAGAAGTAGAGAAAGTACCTTTTGTTGTGTAATAGCTGGACTGACGCTACTTCCCTTAGTCTGTATATCTTTCTTTTTTATTACAAAGTTCAGAGTGACAATAATGTCACACTAGCAAAACCGTTAATTGCTCCGAGCAATTGTCTTGCAGGTTTAACAATGCCTGTAATTCCTAAAGGGAACGCCTAACAAAAACATCCAAGGGGAAATTTACGGAAAGCGCAAGGACAAGTTAGTCAATTTGATAAAAACTTCAAAGATTAGTAGCTTGAAAGGATTATAATATGGTAATCACGTCACGTTTCTCTTACACTAAATTTAACATTAATTACTAAATTTGCATTTCATTTTCGGAAGTAGAGGTCCCCAAGTTGAAATTGTCGAAGACAAAGGTAATGAAATGGTTAAGGCAATTAACTGTTTCGTGAACGTTTCTCTTTCATGTTTTAACACCGGGGGGAAAAAACCTACCTTTTTACTCATCTTCCCGGAAGAAGTAGCCAGAGCACGTTCAATAGCGTTATGGGGCTGTACAACAGGGCTAGCGTTTCTGGAAGCGGAAAATTTCTTTCTCTTCTTTTTCAGTAGTAGTAATCCGCTGGTTAGGCCATGATGATGGTCCTCGGGTGGAGGAGGTAAGTCGTGGGGGACAATATCTAAGCTTGGGTTGGAATCAGAGGGACTGACCGAGCCATTGTCGTCGGATGCGGGACTGTTACTGTGACTATGAGAGTGATTGTGTCCGTTTTCTCTGCACGTCGAATTACACACAGAGTCCTCCGATCGCGACCGGCCAATTAGGCGCGACACCTTTCCTGACTTTGCCGCCTCGATTAGCGTACCCCATCTGCGTTTATGAGCGGATCCTCGTTTTGTGTGGAACCTGAAATGCGAATGTAGGTGTGGTTATCGAAATGATTGACGTCGGTTACCAATTCTCATATTTAGCTAGACCGCGATGATGGTGATGGTGATGATGGTGATAAGGCCCTTCGTTAATACTACCCTGTGAAGAAGACACCGTGCTTTGCTGATGTATTTTTCGTGGAGTTGTGTTAAAAATGCCAGATAGAGTTGAACCGAAGAGATCGTGCTGCTGGCCGTCGTGGTGCTGCTGTAAAGACGCTATGAATTCGGCGACTGGTGGCAGTGGGGCTGTAGTTGTTGAAGGCTGTGGACCGATATTAAATCCTTTCATTAGCCGACGTTCTTTTTGCCTATTCTTTTTGCCTCCCGCTCCTGAAAAGGTAGCATTGTCAGTGCCGATAAATTTTTTGTATCGAGATTACCCGATCCCATTCCAGACTGAGCAGTTGAAGTATTCATTCCCGAATTTTTAAGTATTTCAATTAGTTCAAAGCGAAAGGCGGAGATATCCTGTTTAATTTCATTAACGTCATCCTCGGTAACGCCCTGATTTTCCGCTTTTCGCTGTTCGACAGTTACGTATCGCCTAACGAGGTTACGCATTATACTCTGTAAAGTTCAAATTACTGTTTCAGTCTTGTGCAGCTTGTTTATATTACGAGAACAAGCTACCGCAATAAAACAAAATGGAACTCCATAATACCAAGCGAAAACGCAACGAACTAGAAAATTGGTGTACATTCATGTTTTACCTGATATCGAAAATCCCTCTCGCTCGCTTGCTTTACTTTTCTCTGAAAAAGAAAAGTGTTACTCATAAGGCTTGATAATATATCCGAAGAGTTTATTTCAGGCTTGTTTTATATTTCAAGCTTTAGCGTTTTACATATTTCATTCACCCACTCGCATCCTTTTATTTCTTATCTATTCAAAATGTCAATAAAAATAGTAATGTATAGAATTATTTATTGTAACAATTTATTGTAAATTCCACCTTCGATAATTCAATAAGTTGCAAGTGAAATGCACCTACCCTAATAGTCCTCATGTGCTCTTTTTTTGCTGCTTTTGAATGTCCGCATAATTTTCTTCGACCCCACTCCACAATGTACCAAACGCTTTTGGGCGTAGGAATGATGTTAAACGGTGGAGGAACGGTGCCACCTTCCTCAAAGTAACTTATCCATAATTTACTTCTTGCAAATTTCCATTCCACATCTGCCCTTTCCTGAAAACAACAAAAATGTATCGGGATCCATTTCTGGAAAATAGCTTGGGTAACCATCGTATAGGTATTAGTACAATGCATTAAAGAAAGTTGTGTAGATCAGGAGATCCAGTGCATTGTGTACAGTGGAACATTGAACTTATAAACGTCTATGCTCTATGCGCTTTTAAAAACTTCGCTCTTCCATTGGAAGTCTACAGGGTGGTTCCAACGGCACGCATAGTTACCAGATTTATACCCATCTTTACTCATAGCACAATGATCAATAACCTTAGTGGGAAGTTTCCTCCCCGATTCCTTTTTAGCGCATTTCGACAAAAGTAAAAAAATGCGTTATTGTGGCCACTTTGGCCGTCCGTCCGCTCGTTTCTTGAGACGCCACTAGTTCTTTATCTTAAGACCTATTGTTCTACTTTTTTCTTTTGTTTGAATTTGTTTTTATGTGCTTCGGAATAAATGTTTGTCACTGCCAATCAATTAATTGTGTGTCTATTCGAATCCATTGTGCGACCCGGATAGTTTTCATGTCAGATTTTTTTTTCGTGACCCATATTTATTTGAGGGGTTGACCAAAATTTGTGTAATCAATTCTTTGGAATTTTCGGAAGTTGATCAAGGCTATTGAGTTGCCCAAATTATTAATTTATGTTAATATTGGGTGTTTTCTTTAGAGCAGTTGCAGGATGTGTACGAGGAGAGATTACAAAATTCTAAGTTTCAATTTTGATTAGTTTTGAGCTAGCTGGACATGTGTTTTGCAAGTGGTATAGTGATCACATGGCATTGTACTCACTAATATAATATTGTGGTTCGTAATTAGATTAGATTAAAACAGTCATTTTACTTGTGCGGCGTGTATTTTCAAGAAATGGGAATTTGACCACCTATTTTATGTAATATACTGGCTATGTTCAATGGAAAACGGCTTCTAAAACCACTCACAAGGACACCTAGATGAACAAAACACAGGTACTAATAAAATCTATTATAGGAAATGCTATTCTTCCCTTAGATCCATTCCTCCTTCTTATCAAAAATTGTGCGCCGTCGAACGATAACTGTGTTTTCTTCAGTGCCTATCTTGGAATTTATTAGGCTTTACATAGTGATAACAAACTCTTATCGCAATGACCGGAGATAAACTTCAAAATAACACAATGCAATTATTTACTGATACTTATCTTTTCACATATGTAAACAAAACAAAGCGATTAGTTAAACAAAAATGTTTAATTACTAAGTAAAGCTAACATTTAACGTCAAAAATAAATGAAATTAAACACATACAAGGTGACCCGACGGCCCAACATTACTGTAGTAGGTGCTGATAACAATAAAACCTTCGCAGGACGTACTTTACACAACAATACTTAGTTGCGTATTTTGATGCGTTTTGAAACTGAAAAAACTCCTACTACTTTCGGAAAAAAGGAAATTTTGCAAAATTGTGTTTATTTTGTACTGAAGTTATTTAAAAAGATGTTTCAAAATAAATGACACATTATTATAGCACTTTCCCTCTTTAAGATGCTAGTTTTAAATTTTAAGTCTGACGTTTCGTCTCCATTTAGCCATCATCAACTTATGGAAGTCATTTTTACTTTTTGTGTCATTTGATAGAGCATTTTTTTATGATTTCAAAAACGTAAACATCACTATTTCTTAAATATTGTGAAAATATCTTCTTTTTTGCAACGCAAACGTTGACTTGTGTAGTTTATGCGTTTTTAAGAATTAATAACCCCATTTCTTATAAAAAAAGTGATATTTACATTTTTGAAAGTTGTCAAATAATGATGAGTAAAGGTTTATACTCATTTAGTTCATTTCAGAATCACCTAAGAGTAATTCAATTAATAGGAAATGATTTCCCTTTTTCAAAAAAAAGGTTAAGTTAATAAATTAGCGTTTGAACGTGCTCGTTAACCGTCAACCTCAGTTAATACACCCTCAGGTTATTTGTTTGTGGATTTCGGTTAACAATGGCCCACTTTACCTGGAGGTTACGTACCTATAACCACACCACACCCACATGCTAATACAAAATAATATGAAAAAGACAAAGCCTAAATAAGGCGGAAACACGGAAGGCAATCCAAGTGCGTTACTACTTTAATACCGCAAAGTTCCCATTGTATCGAAGAGAATAAATACGTAATTGATCAATAACGCTTTTAGGTGCAATGTATTTTTGATAAAAAGAATGGATATCCTGCAATTTGCATTACTCTCGAAATAAATTTCCTTTACGACTGTGTAATAAATATTTTATGTTTCGGAAAATTTTGACGTGTCATAAACAAGACGATATCATTTTAATGTTATCCTCTTTTACGAAAAAAAGATACATCCTCTACTTTATTGTTATTGGTACCACTTTTATCACATTATGCTAATAGTGGATGTATGTCATTACATCCTGAGAGCAATTCTCTTAAAAAATGAGGTTACCAAATACAATGTCGGGAACACTGATGTGGAAAATATTCCTCGTAGAGAAATGTAAACAAAATTTCATTAGTTTACCAAGTTTTGCACGCCAGCAATATAGTTAGTGAAAACGTTACAGCAATTTCCATTTGCGTAATTGCGGAACCGCTCAGAAAAAAGTTGATTCAAGCGATTTTTGTATTAAAATAAGAGCTTGAGAATCTTCCACAGCGGTAGTTCGTTCTGGGTAAACTGATATTCGTAACTTCGGTGCACTTATCAATGGACGAGCGCCACTCACTCACTCTAATTCGCACGTGTAAGCGAAATACAAGTAAAACATAAAAAGGCAACATTTACCTTAATGTAAATTAAATGTCATCCAGAGAAGTGAGCTCAGTTCCCGGATTCATAAACCTGCAAACAAAGGAAAACTCCCAAGAAGCCGGAATATAATAAACTGAACAATGCCTGAAGGGCATCGCATTACTCGCAGTGAGCTTCTATCACAAGTACGATCTGATTGGGCCAACCTCTCCAGAAGGAAGTGGCGGACTACCACAACATTCGAGTGTAGAACTCGACCATAACTTAACCTGTATCTTTCTTAGGTCAATATAAACGATGTTGAAATAAAAACAGTTTAAATTTCGGACTTGGTTTACATTTTTTCCACTTTGACTTGTAAAGGCGGCGTTCTGTCCCCGAAATTTCTCCCAAATTGTATCATATAAGAAAAGAACATTTTTTTTCACGCCCACAATGGTGAATCAAAAACGTGATGCCCAATATTGTTTATTGGGTAATGTTTTTTGGTACTACCAATCACAAATGTTTCAAATCCTACGTAATTTAAAGCTGCACTATTGCTCACAAGGTATTTTTGTCGCACGCTGAGATATTAAACGAAACTTACTTTCTCCATTAAGAAGGATGAGGTATGATTTATACTCCCGTAATCTTGACCCCAAAGGTAATTAAAGAACAAAAGCCCATACAAAATTGGATATGTAGAAATGGCACATATTCCGTAAACCGCAATCAACCAGATAAATTTCTTCCATCACCATGAATTTGTTTGGGAAGACACTTAAGAACCTCGATATTTTTTTACAGGTTTCAAAAATTCTACTTTATTTATTTTCCTCTCTTATCCCTATCTTCTAAAATACATAAAGGGTGTATCATCAAATTTTATGAAATTCTCACCATTTTTGTGATCCAATGTGGTTTTCGAATTTTCAAAAACGAATTTCGATTTCGTAATTTTAAAAACATTTCTTTTTTGCACCACCGCAAATCCTAACCCTCTGTTTGTTATGGTCCTCAAGAAAATAATTAAAGAATAAGTAATAATAATAATAAGACAGACAAAAGAAAAGCCTATGACCTATATTCTCACTTAAAAAAATTGCAAGATGGCGGTCGCACTCAAAAGCTGAGTGTCAAAAAAGCATTTTGTTAATCTCAAAATATATTTCAAATGGAAATGGTTCCATATTTAATAACGACCCTATATAATTCCAAATCAACAAAACAGACCTCTAATATCGAAAGTTCTGAAAGTTTATTAATGAATTAATTTGCTTGTATTCTAGATCTCTGAATGCGTCTTCTTAGTTCCTTAGAAATGTACGTTTATTAGGGCTTTACAAGTAGGTACTTGTACAGTAGGAAAAGCTGCTCAAAGCCTTTTCTTACATTACGAGTACTACCTAAGTATTAGCAATACGTAAGGGTAAGTCCCTAAATCGTGCGCATTGCATTGTTGTAAGAATTTGTATAATCGCAACAATTAAGTTAAAGATGTAGATACCATCATCAAATTAAACCTATTATACAAAATACAAAAACACAGAAAGGACCTTAAGCAACCCTAAATTATAAAAGTAGGTTATAACGCGTAATAAACACATAAGACACGCAGCCCTTTCCTTAACGATTTCGTCAGTTGACTGTTTAGGTATCTAAGGGTCGTTGCTCTTTGGTATTATTTCGCCGATACCTTTAGTTTGCAAAGTCACGCAAGTATTGCATAACGATTGGTTTAACCTACATAAGGAGAAATTTTATTGATAAATTTGAAATATTTGCAGCGATGTTTACGATTGCTCGTGTCCTGGAAAGTTTCTTTTCGCCATATAAAAGGTAGACATTTATACTAGCGATTGTCAAGCGTATTTTAATAATAAGAAAAATGTAACTATAAGTGTATGGAAAAAGAGATCTTGACTTGGCTCACAAAATGAATAAATAATGTGCAATATTAGGTGGAAAACCAAATAAACCAAACATAATATAAGCAGGCGGTATTTTCGTATGAAGCACCTTTCAGATTTGAGTAGTCTGTTGAAGTTGTCATATTGGGAAGCAAATATAAATTTTTTTTATTTCGTGTTTAGTCTTTCATTTTTCGGCATTGAACTAGAATAATTATGTTGAGTAAAATATAGTTCAATGCTTTTAGGGAGTAAAGTGTTCCTTTATTTTCCGAAGTGTTTAAACGTCTCAGTGAGCAATGGAACGTGGATTGGATCATAAGTTGTACAAACTATACTCATTAATATTGTATCGTGGTAGGTATAATAATTATTATACCACACAGTTGCTGTCTAATATTCATTTCTTCACAGTTTTTTTATACTGACATTAATTATCTACTATTGTAGCAATAGTGACATTACAAGCTGATGTCCTGATCCTGATCCTGATTAATAAATAAAATTAAAAAACTAAAGGACGTGTTAATCCCTCGAGTACAACTTCGTTTTGACCAACACTATACTCTCGGCTTAAAACCACATTTTAGTTCTAGAGTACATTTTTCTTCCCTTATAATTCAGGTGCAATCCTTTCGAAGAAAACTGTTCAACATTATTATGATGCAAACTACTTTGAATACTTACCGAAATTAGTTGATACGAATGATTCATCATCGCAATTAGCAGATTGAGTAGTACGACAATATTGATGACAGAGTACGTTCCGAACATTAGCATACCCCAAAATCTTGTAAATATTTTGATACCGCTCAACTCGAAGCTTTCCAAATCGACCAATCCGAAAACGGCCCAAAATAAAGTTTGACTAGTTTCAAAGAGACTGCAAAGACAATCAGCAATTAGACCCTTAACAAAAAAAACCATTGCTGCTTACTTAGCGAACCGTCTCCATATCGTGCATGCATTCGAATCTGCCACGCCATCTGAAGCAGTGCAGTTCGTTAATTTTGTGTGATTAGGCAGTTTGTGATCTAAAATTATTTCGGCGCAATTCGGTCTGCCGAAGTCCGGACATTTCAGCTTCTCTGCGTCCGCGTAGTACCACAGTAGTTGATTGAGACCTAATGACAGAGTGCTGTGGAAGACGAAGAAGTTAGCAGATACTTACCACAGGAAAATGCAAACAATACTAAAACGTATAGGAAGAAGAATTTCATGATGTCCATCACCATTCTGGACAGCGAAACTTGTAATGGTCCCAGATGAGGATTTACAGAAAATATGTACACTAATTTTAAGGAACTGAAAAGAAAATATGTTATTAAAAAGTAATGTTCTTTAAGTTTATTATAATGTGAATGAATAGAATGGTGCGTCTCAAATGTTTTGACACGAGTTTCAAATAGTTCGCTTGGAAGTTTTGCTGTTTTTGCTTATGACACCCCGTTAAGTTGCCCCGTCCCCTCACCTTGAGATTTGGTAGCTCTATTATTTATAAAGTAAAGCACTCCTTATGCGCTCACATGCTGCACCGATAATAACTCTTGCGCCACTATCGTTTTTTATAAATCAGAAATTAATAAAAAGATGGTAGGTTCGATTTAAACTTGTGGAAATTGTTTCTGTGTGAAAAAGAATTTTCCCACTGTATGTAAATATGTTTGTGCCCAACCCAGTTAGAAGGAAATAGAATTTTGGTTTTCTCTTTTTGAATTTAGTATTAAATAGCGAAAGCGTTCTAACGGAGTCGAAATTAAATTTGGTGAAGAATTACGATGTGGTTCTAAAAAGGAAAAGGGACGTTATATGTTGTTCAGTGTTAAAGGGTTTATTAAATGAGCAAATAGACGAAGTGGCCACTTCACAAATGTTTTATTCATGTGTAAATAGAAAAATTAAGCTTGCTGTTTTAAAGGACTGAAGATAGCAGCTGAGTTTGATTCATTCATTTTTTAATAAACGTATAGGTTTATTAAAAAATGAATGAACTGTTTATAAACAGTTGGAAACTGTATCTTTGTTTTCCAACAAAGTGGTCTAGGGCGGAGAAAAAATTTCAAGAAACTATACCAGCTGATGTACCTAAATAAAGTTAGCAAGTTAGGAATAAAAATTTTGGACACAAAGTAAAATTCGACATTTTTGCGTAAACATTCATAGTCGTTCGGAGTTGCCCACCCTTGAAATTTAACCTTCCGTTACAAGTAGGAAGTCTACCATTGTAACATTAGGGTTGTAAATCCTTATGCTTACCCAAGGAAATCTTACACGAGATCAAATTCGGTCGGGGATGATTTTATAACTCAAACCCGGTATGTTACCAACAGTTCTAAGATTGTTAACTGACCATATTAATATTTTATTGTAAGTATTTACATGTTATTTATATCGCAAATATTACTTCCTTAAGCTACGTCAATTGCGTGTACAGATTGTGTTTCCCGGCGGACCAGATATCTTGCTCGCAGCATCCACTGTTTTCATCGCAAAAACGGGAATGTGAGTTGGTTCCCGCCATGAGGGGATCTGGCATGGGCTTCCTTTAGGATTAGTGTGGCCAAATGCCTTTTTTAAAGTAATTATTATGGGTTTTTTTCTTATATCGATATGAAGGCTGCATTCGTTAATCTGGTCCCTCTTCTTAGTAGTCCCATTGCATCCAGGAAAGGACTGATTATCTTAAGGTTGAAGGTTTGTTTGGTTCCTGATAACAGCTTGGCCGCCAGTACTACTTCATATAGAGTTCCAACCGCGGCAGGGTCTCAATTTTATTAGAGCCACTTTAGATTTTGTCGTTAACCTGGACGTTTTTATTGGCCCATTTCCACACTTGTATCTTTGGACCAGTCAGCACCATATGCTTCTGGATTTTTACTAAACTGGGAGTGATTGAGGCGTCAAACACCACTTGTAATGTGATGAAGCTTTCCCCTTTTAACACCCCATGGTAGAGAATGCAGTTTCTAGCAGGTCCCTCCCCTGCATTCAAGGTGCCATATGTCTCAGATCTTTGTACTCTCGCAGGAAAACCTTAAACCTGCATTCCTTCTGTAGAAGGCGAGTGATTGCTTTTTCCAATTCCTCTGATTCTTCTTTCATCGGCAAGTTTACGGTATAGGCGTTATCTATATTCCGTGTTGTTGTTTCTCGTTTATTGGTCATCTTGGCGACCTTTGTTTGCCATGAACCCATTCAACTTACTTCTGGCTTCTTTGGCTCGTAGATATACGAAAGTGTATCGCAACTATCTCCTCGTGATTCTTTCTCGCAGACCGATATCATGATTTGGTGAACTACGTCCTTTGCAGTTTCGAAATAGGCCTATAAAATGTCAGGTACTTCGCTGCTCACCATAATCACCTTATGCCTTTTTAAAATCCCAACATTTGTTGGAACGTTCCTCATCCAGTTCGGTCCGTCTCTTCTGAATAATTTTCCTAACAGGATCAAATTTCAATTGCTGTCTACGGAGATCTGGGTGCGTGTGACTCAGGCTGGGTAAGGAAGGGACTTCTTGGAAACCTCGCCCCCCGCTCCCAGATATCGTGACAATTGAGGTTTCCTCCGAAGATTCCGTTGACAAGTAGAAGTGTGGGCACTTCTTGGTGTAGTAATCATGTTCTGGATCTTGTTGCAAGACCATGATCTGGGAGTGGCATTGTGTGAGCGTTGCGAGTTCGAATATACAGACAAACCCCCATTCACTATTGTCAAAGGATCAAGTTTATACATACAGTATTCTGTACGTCATACTTTACACATGTACTCTGCACACAGAGGACTCTATTTTAGGTAATTGGAATATACTGTTGTGTAAACAACGTTTTATAGACGTGAATTCGGTTCAAACACCAAACACCCTGTATGTGAGAATATTTTAATTTATTAAATGTAAATTTGAAGAATTATTTCGGAACCAGCACAGAGATCGTTTATGTGATTTGAATTTGTCTCAGCGCCATTTTCCCTTTTAGTATTGTTTGTAATTGAGTATTATTTTCTGGTTTGAAATTTATTGCTATTGAAAAAAATTCAATTTGTTTAAGTTTAATGCAGCTATATCGGATCGTTTGCGATAAGATGTTTTGTTATCTGGCGCACGTGTTCTTATCGCTGATAGAAGAGATAATGAACATGCAGATGTTACTATGTGCGCGTTTGTTCGGCGTGAGTGGGGTCGGTCTGGCGTTATCAAGTCTAATTATGATTGATGGTTTTATTTGAAAGTTCTTGAGGAATTTCGTAAAATACTGGATACAAAGAGAAAAAAACGAGGCTGGTGTGTTCGCGACGGTTGGAAAGGGTATACGTTTCGTTATGCTATATTTTTATACGCGCTGTCCGCCCAACTTGATAAGTTGAAGACGTAGTTTATCCTTATTATAATAATTTTGCGCAGAAGTAAGATATCTAAAGTTGTTGAGAAGTTTAAAGCGGTTTATCCGTTTTATGGAAAAAAGTCTGTCAAGTTCAAAATGCAACGTGAGGTATTCTATTAAAGTTCCCTCGTTATTAAAAGTAACAGGTTTGTACCATTTTATTCATTATGGTAATGTTGTTTGTCACCAAGATTTGTGTGTTAGGGAAAAGTAAAGTCTGAAACCGTCAACGTTTGTGTGTGGAGTTAAGTACGCTTTGTTTTGGTCCCACTAGATTATTAGGATTATTAAGAGAGAAAAATACTGTAAGTATTTTTTTTTTATTTGTCGAACGTTGCGTGCGGGGTTATTTGTATAAATAAGCTTCCTAATATATTCTTTCTTTCAAGAATTTTGTTATAATTTTTCATTTCTTGTGTTTTGGAATAAAATTTGGTCATTGCCAATCAATTAATTGTGTGGTTATTTGAATGCTTTGTGCGACTCGAACAGACTCTTATTTGTAGGATTATTAAAAGAGAGAAACACTGTAAGTATTATTAAGATTTTCTTATTGTATTTGTCGAACGTCTGCGTGCGGGGTAATTTGTATAAATAAGCTTCCTAATATTTTCTTTCTTTCAGGAATTTTGCTATAATTTTTCATTTCATGTGTCTTGGAATAAAATTTGGTCATTGCCAATCAATTAATTGTGTTGTTATTCGAATCCTTTGTGCGACCCGAACAGACTCTTTGTAGGATTATTAAAAGAGATAAACACTGTAAGTATTTTTAAGATTTTCTTATTTTATTTGTCGAACGTCTGCGTGCGGGGTAATTTGTATAAATAAGCTTCCTAATATTTTCTTTCTTTCAAGAATCTTGTTATAATTTTTCATTTCATGTGTTTTGGAATAAAATTTTGTCATTTCCAATGAATTAATTGTGTGGTTATACGAATCCTTTGTGCGACCCGAACAGACTCTTTGTAGTTAGGTCCTTTAAATTTTCGGAAGGTTATCGAGGTTCTCCCTAATCATTAATTTAAGTGAATACTGGGATTTTCCCTTGTAGCAGATGCCGGAAGTGTACAAGGGGAGTAAAATTTCTAAGTTAAAGTTTTGATTTGTTTGAGCTAGCTAGCTCGACAGGTGTTTTGTGGGTGGCGTAGTGTCTGCATGCCATTGTACGCAGCAATAAATTAAATTGTAGTCTCCTAGCAGACTCAACTTTTTACTTTTCCGCACCCCAATATGGGTAGGTGAAGTATTATTTTCATCTTAGGAGAAAGTCCGTTGTTTAGTTCTTGTTTTTGCACATGCAGATATCTCGTTTTGAAAGGTTAGTTATTTGTGGATCGTATATGGTAACCTGCCTTTGGTGAAAGTGCTCGACTTCTACTGTCTAAATGAATTCTTAACTTCAAACTAAATTCGCGTGCTATTTGTCAGTTTCCTCCTGTTCCCTTTTTTGGCTTTCATTCAATAGTGAGATATCTCGATGTACACATTTCCGTAAAAAGTGACTTAAAATGTCTTCAAATGCGCCGAGCTTTGATATAATAAATCAAGAAAACACAAAACATTTTTAGCGAACAACACAGCTGTTTACCTACCGAATTTCTATGAGGTTTCTTAATGGAAAACACGGCGAATTGATTATGTAGGACACGCTGAAATTGAAATTGGCTAGAGAAGAAAATGGAAACTTCCATAATTTGATACACAAATACCGCCACTTGGAAAGTTAACAGCCAGTTTATGAAATCGTTTGGGGAATTGTCATATTCAAGGGCTTATTTAACCCAAACTCTTTTTTTTTTGTCTCACAGAGTTTTGTACAATTTTGCTAAGAATTCGAATATTATGTAAAGCAAATTCTAAATCACGGCGAACATTATTTATGAGATCGAAACTAGGGCAAAAACTAATCCTCTTAAATTT